TGCTATATAGTTCTATTTTTCATGGGACCTTTTGTGAATAATAATAATAATAATAATATACTGCATGCTCTCAATACTACTGGTAAAAGTGATAATCATTTTGGCAGCTGAGATTTTCAGCTGACATTGCCATCACATATGTTATCACTTGATGATCTTGGCTGAAAGTGTGAACTGTCTCCACTGAAATGTACTGTATTCAGAATGGCACTGATGGATAGGGAAGCTTTTTGTGATGACCTTTTTTAACAATTGCAGCTCATCAGTTGATGCTGCAGCTACCAAGCGATGAAACTGTGTATGAACTGACCCTTAGATGGATGTGGCTATGTACCTGATTGTTTAGATTCTGTTGAACTAATGTGTTGTTGCTTGCCACCCCAACCTCTGAGCAGTGAAAGAATCCAGGGGTTCCAAGCGCTTACCCAGGGTTTGTGTTTCCTTTTGAAATGAGGTACAGTGTCGTCTTTGAGATATATGGTTTATTCACACATATATACAATCTGAGCCTATGATGGAGGGGTTCACAGCATTAACATCCCAAGAGAACCTTGCTTTCCCCCATAGCCGCAGCCTTGGATTCAAACAGAAATCAAACGTTGTTCTCTCTCTCTTGGTTCTCAGCTTGCTGCTTTCCTTCTCACTCACATCACATAATAATAATAATAATAATAATAATAATAATAATAATAATAATATAAAATAAAATTTTATTTGTACCCCACCCTCCCCGGCCGGAGCCGGGCTCAGAGCAGCTAACATCATATTACTAATACAATATGCATAAAAACAATCAATCAATCAATTAAAATGGATCCCAAAATTAATTCATATAAATTAAAATGAAAGTTAAAAACTTTAATTCTTCACTCTGTGGCACTTCACTCTGTGCCCTCAGCTCTGGCTCTATCTAACCGAATACCTGAAAGCTGAGGGAGGGAGACCCACCTATTTGCCATCTTGCACAGTGCCCCTTCCTTTGTCCCTCTTATTGGCTCATCACCCAGGCTGTCACCTCACCAGGAAGCTAGCCTGGCTATTCCAAGAATCAGAAGGGGGCCCAAGCATTCAGCCTAACCCCCCAACAAAAACAAACAAACAAAAACGCTCCATAGCAGTAGTAAAATGCTTTTTGGAAAACTATCATGGTCAGGTGAGATAGTCCCCTTTGATATGTAAGTGCTGCGGTTCCCATCTCAAATCTCTCCTATGCAGGTCAGTGTCACTGTGCTTTGCTTCACAAGCGGGAGAACTTGTTCAAAAAAGCAGCTTAGATTCTGCCCTATCAGGTCTTTGGGCAGGACCACAGTGCCCTGTGCTTTAGCCTGGCTTTGATTACTTAGCTATGATCTCCCGTGTGATGTTATTGTTCCCGGTAACAGTTCAACATTTGATATGAGACTGAAAGGTGGGGAAATGGCTTCCTCTCTCTAAAGTATTATTTGTTCAGTGTTCTTGCCAGAGGGCTTTGTGCTAAAACTCGTTTTAACATCCTGATTAACATGCTTCAAGTTATTTGACTTGTCCAGATACGACGAGGATGTGTGTTGCGAGGCCTTCCAATGTAAATTTTAACTTAATCTCAAGTTAGAGATTCCTCGAGAGGCCAGCATACGGCAACATTTCCCAAGGCCCCAAAGTCTGTGCTGTTCAAACAAAGTTGAACTCCGACCCTGGTAAAACGGAAGACTTCACAGTTTCACTTCCTAAGATGGAACTGCCAACATTGTTAGTGGCAAAACAGTCTTACATTGTATGGTTCTGGCTGACCCGGGGTCTTACTTGAGCTGGGAAGGGAGGAGGTGGAAAAGCTAGCTGCAAAAAGAGTAATATTCTTGGCAGAAAGGCACTGCGGAGAAATTCCAGGATGTTGTTTTCAGTCTGTGAAAAGCTGTTCACACTCTCAGGCAGATTAGTGGCTGCCAGGATCATTCTGTGTGAAAAGAGCAGTCACAGAAAGGTTCCAGATTAAAGGCATTTTCAGTGAAATGTTGAGCACTACTAGAGAAGACTGTGGAGAAGCACACCAGGACTACATTTTACTGGATTGTCATCACTTCTAGAAGGCTGCGTTCATCCATATTTTTCAAAGCTTTATGGGAAGGGATGGGGTGTTCAGGTTTTGGGTGCCATTTCAAGATTTGCCCTAGTTTGGGTGGTCAACCTTCACATGGCTGCAATTGTGTATGGGTGACCAGGGGGTTGCACATGCTGGCCCTGCTTTCTCTGTCATGTACCCAATAATTCAGGTCCTGCTATGATGGGAGGTATAAAGCTTGCTGTATGTGCATAGACTAGGATTTGAAGTCACAGAATGTAGCCACCTTGTTGAAGATGGTCATTCCTAAGGCTGGTCAGTGCCTGAATGGGAGACTCGTGTTTTTCTAAAACCACACTCAATAAAAAGCTGTAGTTCAAGTCTTAGCTTTAGGATAAAGTGATTTGGGGTTTCTTCGGTGGAAGACTTTCTACATGGAACATTTTCTTAGGCCATTTGGGTTAATGATGTGTTCAACTTTAACAGAGCTTTATGGTGATGCCTGGTTTAAAGGTAATTGAATAATTCACATCTGTTATATTTATTTAATTAATTAATAAGCCGTTAAGTTGGCATTTGAATGTATTAATGATCATATCCAAATATTTGAAAAAAACAAACAAATGCTGCCTTGGTTGCAGATGGCAATGCATTGATATAAGAAATTTTATTTATTTAATAAACTTATATACCATCCTTCATCAAGAACCTGAAGGGACCATGCTCTAGTATTGAAATTTGGAAGCTCTGGTACTTGGTGTGAGTTGAGTAGCTGACTCTAGCATTCCAAATGCTTTGAGAGCAACATGAAACTGATTTGTCAGGAACTGGTTTGACTTTATAAGCTACCCAAATAATAAAGTATATCATGAACCCCACCCCCAATATGTAAGACCTGGGAATTCACAACTCTCTTCACTTGGTAATTTGTTCCTTGTTGTTCCTCTTTTCCTTCATTGTAGACTTGCCTGCGAGGTATTTTATACTTTTTCTTTGGTAACCCCTTGAAGATGGAAAATAATAAGTGATTTAATGCTTCCAACAGAAGAGGCAGGTGCTAGGTTTGTACTACAGAAAGCCCACAACTTATGCAGGGATTACATTCCACGGATCGTGCCTAAAGCTAAAATCGTATTTAGTCAAAATGTGTTGGGTTCAATGGTGGGTAGGCTCGCCAAAGTCATATTTCCTGGAAGCCTGCCCCCTTTCCACCTCTTTTTAATTTAATTTTTTTCATTGCTACCCACATACAGCTGAATGGGCACAAGTCAATAAATGTGTTTAAGTTGCAAAATTACTCTATTTTTATTTTGGATATGACATTTGTTTTTGTTTCAAAAAATACATATATTTTCTTCTAGCACTCAGAATAAGAGATCTGAAGGTGTGTGTGTTGTGATGAGGAGAACACAGAAATAGACTTCATGGGGGCTTTCCTAGGTATAATTCAGCATCTTCATGAAGAGTCTTGCAAAGTCAATTGCCACTTTTCTAGGTATGTGCCAAGTACTTACCAATATTTGCACCCTATTAGTGGCACTAAAGAGTAGAGTGGAGTGGAAAATCTGAAACTGTCAAACTGTCAGACTATATGTCCATATAGTCTATGGAAAGATGAGGTGACATCAGAAAGCTTCTAGACACAATTCTGCAATTGCCAGACAGTGGGATGGAAAGGAATCAGTGTTTGGCAGCTCAAAACTGTTTTTCTTTCAGCTTGGCGGGGCTGGGTTTTTCTCTTTTTTTCTTTTTAAGAGCTCTCCACAAGCCCAGGGCTCTCATTCAATTTTGGATCAAATATTTGCTTTACGTACAAGCCTCAAACCTCATTGTGCAGTTGTCTGAAACTATTTTGGATAAGCAAGCACAAGTCGCTTAAATCCCACTTGCCTCTTAATGACATGTAATATAGTGTAATGATATCGTGTCCACTCTCCCGCCAATATATTTCATTATACAAAAGAGTCATTGTTTGTTTTTGAACACAGCAGCAGCCTGAACAGATAATTTGCTTTTTTAAAAAAAGCAGCAAAAACACAACAATAACCAACATTGTAAAATGGACTCCTTATGCTTACTTTTTAAAGAACTTTCTTAGGCAGAAAATCATTTCTATCCCCTGAAATCAACAACAATAGGAAAATCAATGTTGTTATGACCATTAAAGTTAATTTTCACGTTTACTCTGTGCTGTGTTTCAAAATCCAATGCTGCAGCCAGCTTTGAAGCATTTAGAGGCCTATTGTGAGCTCAAGTACTTACAAGTTTATATCTTGTTTTTCCCCCACGGATCTTTTGTGCAGCTGAATGAGTATGTATTCTGCAAGACTTTCAGTCTTTTGTCAGCAGCATAGCAACCATCTCTGGGAAAGATGTAGACAAACACATGGAAGGCTTTGAACTTCAAATATGGCTTGAGCAGTCCTTTTATTCCGACTGTGAATAAGAGCTGCATCTGTTCCTTTATATGGTGTATTCTCACATTGCAATCGTATTGCATACTTACCTGGGAGTAAGCACCATTGAAGAAAATGAGACATACTTCTGAGTAGACATGTATATGCCTACTTCGTATTTGCGATACGGAAGGGGTTTATAGAAATTGATAGGACAATACTTTCAGGGCATTCTATTCATTATGACTTGGTGCCAACTAAGTACTGGATTTAACCTGCTCTCCAAAATTCTCCTGTTATTAACTTTTCTATTTCTTACTATCCTGTTAGCTGGGAACACAAATTTATGTTGAAGGTGCAGGATGTAAATGAACTAGTGTTGCCATATTTCTAGTAGCGGAATTCAGGACACAAAAGTTGTCGAGCTTACTTTGGGAACTCAAATTGTTCAGGCCATCATAAAACATCCATATATAAAATTTTAAAATCTATACAAATAAACACCCATGTAAAATATGTAATAACAAGGATTTTCATTGGAGTTTTTAGGCAAGAAACCTCAAAATCCAGGTCATTTTGCTGATTTTCCAAAATTCCCCCGGACGCTATTTTCGCTAGTTAAATCCTGGACACGTCCAGGAAATTCCGGACAAATGGCAACCCTAAAATAAACATTAAAGAGAATTCTATTGCCATTATGGCAATAGACCCACAGCTTGTTCGGCAGAATTGGAGAAGTATTCATCAACTTCAGGTACTGTTGTTCTGGCACTGCTGATTTGTGGCTGGACTCTCTGCTTAGTGCTGTGATTCCTCTTTGGACGGAGAAAGATTTTGCTCGCCCACAGGGAGTGATCTGTGCCACAGTTGGCACTGTGGCAGCTATGTGTGACATGAACACAGTGCCGATTGCCTAGTGACAATCAGCTCCAGGTGGTGTCAGTGGCTTGACCTTAGATATCTCCAGGACACTCACTGTTTTGTCTTGGTAGAGAAGAACGTGTTTCTGATGCAGAGGCTGTGATGCGAGCACAGCTCAAGTAGCATATGCAGTTTTCATTCATGCTGCCAGTACCAAAGTGGTTTATGCAGTTGTCCCATGTGTGATGATCATCCCCAACTCTGGCATTGAAATCTCCAAGCAGGAATAGGTGTTTGCAGGCTGGCAACCTCATTGATAGCCTTGGTATTCACCCCATGCCTAACTGCCTTATCACTTTACCCACTAAAGAGTGTTGACTCGTCCAGTAAGCAAGTTGCCATCATTCCAGACCACTGGCCGTGCTGGCTGGGATGTTGTAGTCCAACAACATATGAAGGGCACCAGGTTGGAGAAGGCTGTGTTCTGTGGCACCTGCAAAGGAGGCCAGTGGAATGTTGATTAATTTATCTAGCTAAATATTTGTATCATATTTATTACTACCCTTCAATCCTGTTCCCAGGACAATTTAGATGACAGCAACACACAATTAAGCAACTTAAAAAATACAAACAAGATACTGTATTTACACAGATCTAATGCACCATAGAATCTAATGCGCACCTCAGTTTTCAAAACCTTGAAACCAAAAAAGTATTTGCTGGCGAATGTAAATGCGCCATCAAATCTAATGCGCATCCTAATTTTCGTGACGTAATTGGGCCAAAATTTACATTCAAGAAAATATGGTATTTTGAGTTGTATGCACATTTGGCAACACCTAGATGGGTACCATGCTTCTGGAATCACAATGGATGGATCAGCCAATTTTCGTTCTGTGTTAGGATGGAGCAGACCTAGGACCGAGTGCCTGCAAAACTGTTTCTTGCAGACTTTAAAACAACAACTGAAAACCCCTCTACATTTAAATTATATGCATCTTACACATTTACTTCCCCTAAAATATATATTCTTATATGCATGTTGTAAGAAGCACATTATTGTCTACGTTTTTTTGAATCAAAATTGAATTGCAAAATTAATAACTATATTCTGAAATACATGTAAGTCTGGGACTGATGAACTGGGTCATTTCACTTTAAATTCCAGAGCAAACAAATTTCTTCCCCATCTCTGTTCAGGGGTTCCTTTGTGGATATATGTCATATCCTATATTTATGTGAGGGTTCTAACAATGTTAGGAAAGTCTGTTTTGCCGGGGGTAGTTACGGTGCTGAATGTAGTTACCTCTTTACCTAATAGGTGTGCTCTCCCGATATTAGATTTAATAACTTTCAACACTATTTATACAGTACTATGTCTGATTAATTTGTATATTGTAATAGAGGTATAACCCCCATTTTGCTTCTGATACAAAAAGTATATGAGCCCCTAGATTTTAAGTATAGATCTTCTATTGGAGCCAGCAGCGTTTAGAAACTCACATGTGCTTTTAGGATAATAGCTCTGGTTAGCAAGTTCTATCCTTCCAGGCCACTTTGCTAGGAAAGTCTAACAAGATGAGAATAATTTCCACTTTGCTGCAGAAGAATTCTGTAAGAGGCAGCACATTACTGATGCTTTTAATTTCCATTTGATTGCAATCATTTAGATAACTCTTCCAGAGATACCAGATGAGCCTGTGCTTTCCATTAAGACATATGTATGAAACTTATAATAGAAGTACAAGAAATAGCGTAACATATGTTCCCTTCATGTCCGAATGAAGGGTGGTTAATTCTAGTTGCTCTATATGAAAAATGTGACCTATTAATAACTATCGTAATGCATTGGCACTATAAGTTATTAATTGTAGAATGGGTGGTGAAATTCCAGGCACATTAGCCCATTATGTTTTCTTCAGATCCATCAGCGTTTAAAGCATCCATCAATACTATCACATATAGAACAGCAGGGCTTTTGAATGCACACAAACAAGCTCAATAAATAATAATAGCAACTTGAATAAGCACAGCAAGTAACACTAACAACTCTGAAGGTAAGAAGGTAGTAGCTGCATGGGATTTTCCACCATATTACACAGAGTGCAATGATTATCTGCCTGCTGGACAGAAGTCATTGGTGTGGGCTTGGTGCAATGAATTTCAATCCTAAAAAAGTTCAACAACTTTGGTCGGCCCTTTGGTCAGCCCCCACGGCCCTTCACTTCATCAAATCTGGCCCTCTTTGAAAAAAGTTTGGACACCACTGATTTAGGACAAAGTAGTTGACCTAGAGAACCTGAGGGAATGAGAGAGGTTGGTGGGTGAGGCCTTCAGTGAGGTTGTGATAATGGTTTCCCTTTCTCAGGGTGAACATTCCTCTCCTATCATGGAGAATGAAGGTCTCTGGGAAGAAGATGTCATGCTGAGGAAGAGGAAAATGATCCCCTAGAATGGGGTAAACTGATGCCTTCTCACACGAAGGACATTGCTTTAGGGCAGTAGTTCCCAAACTCCCTTCTCTCGTCCTGACCTCTTGAAAATTGATGAGGCTACTTAGTGGACCACTTAATGATTTTTCTGCTTCTTGTAATGTGCTATGCAAGATGTAGTAAAAAAAAATTCAATTGAATTCCTGTTGCTTCTTTTATTTCTTATATTGCATTTTATTGTTTTACCATCTGAATTCCATGTACAAGTTTTAAGAAGGTTAAAAATTGCAGCCCTACCAAGTCAAAATGTTGCCAGCTGCCATCACACCTACCTATTTAAATAACCATTTCTTTCAGCAAAAAAAGTGGCAGTTGGCAAAGTCTTGGCCTCCCCCTTGTATTTTGGTGATTCGAATACACATACACAACTGGTGTGAGATACTTGTGCTGAGATAGCAGATACATTTGCATCAGAATCCGAAAAGAATTGTAGGAATCATCCCTGAATTCACAATTGTGATTAGGTATTTTATACTACCCTTCAATCATATTTCCAGGGCCACTTACAAAAAGGACAGAATCAGTTAAAAATGTAAACAGGCAGAAAAACCCACGCTGATCTACTGCGCAGTTCTTCAGTGGCATAGAGCCTTATAAACAAAACGAGAATTAAAGAATTGTAGGTCTGTAGGGGTGTTAAGGATCATCTGTCCACCGCATTGAGGCAGGATTCTCTGTGCCAGACTCCCTGAAAAGGACTGTTGCTGTAATCCAAAAGAGACAGCAAGCCAAAAGCAGGGAACAGGAATCAGCCTGGTGCCCATTGCCAGAGCTGCCTGGGGGAAAGGAATAAGCTTTGTCCAGGGAGTCTTGCCATGTTCTCTGGGGGCAACATGAAAAATGCCAGCCATCTGACCTAGGGGGAAATTCTTTCTTCTCCCGAAATAGAGCAGCTATCCAAATCTTTACTAGGAGAGTCAAAGCCACCACAACTTCTTCAAAGCATGGTTCACTTCATCCTTTGTTTTATCTCAAGTCAGGGGTGGAGGCATACCTAGCCTCTCTTGCGCCCTTGGCAAGAAGCTGTATCTGTGCCTTGTCCCATCCCTTGCACTGTTGAGCCCCACTGGGCACTTCACTCACACTTCTAATAGTGTCACTGGTGGACTCAGGAGGGGGTCCCACTGAGCTGGTGTGACGGCCCATGCCAGTGACCATATTCCTCTGCCGAGGCACCCAGAGAACCTCACCTGTGTTCTTAATCTGAGAGCAGCAGCGGAATGGCATGGTGTGCATACCAGCCCCCGAGTGGGCTCCTAGGCAGAGTGGAGAGGCATGATTTGTGAGCTCCCCTGGTCCTGTGCCTTAGGCTGGGATCAACCTGGCCAACCCCTAGATACACCTTTCAAGGTGTGGCTGGGTACTTAAAAAATAGGAGTCCAGCCCAATAGACCCAAGCATCCTTGCCAATTTATATGCATGTATGTAAATTTTTGAAATATTTACTAGAATCTAGATTTCACAGAAGGCAGGTCAACTAATTTTCCCATCCCCAGAGCAACTCAGTTCCCCCCATTCATATGCAACCCATCATCTAGTTTTGTCCTTTTTTTAAGTTTCATCCTTTCTTTGTCTTCCTTTTTAAGAATTTTAATTAAAAATGCGTTAAAATTGGCTCCCTACAAATTCAATAATACAGAAAACAGCACAAATCCTTTGTTATATTTTTGTGGGCCACTTGGAGACCTTTCTGGCATTAACTGGTGTATAAATATATGAAATAAATAAATGAAGCCCCCAAATGGTGCCTGTCTGGCTTGCTCCTTCATCATCATCATCATCATCATACACACCAGGGCTAAAAAATATGAATGAAATCATGTTTGGCCTCAAATCATTTAGGGCTAATCCACACATTACATGCTGAGCTATGAAGGGAAAGGATGCAAAATAAGCACCGTGACTCTCCACAACTCCTGGAGGGAGTCATGATTGCTACAACTTGTTGAGTATATATGCTCTGCAGTGAGCCCGCATATCATCGGCATAGCCAATGGAGTCAGGGAGGGGCAGCTGCCCCCCTAAATCAATAAAAAACAATAAAAATGCATAACTTACTGAGGTTCTGCCTCCCCCAACAGAATTCCTGGCTACGCCCATGCTGCATAAAATACTCTGTGTAAAATGCAAAACGACCATTTGGCTTTGAAAGACGACCTCCATGATGGTGCCCATGCCTTTAATGAGCACTTTCTCCTATTTTATCTGTAATTCCAAGACCATTTAAATCTGTCACGGCTTCCTCCAGACTAATGCTTCCTGTTTGTGCCATATTCTAATAGACATTAGTTAAGCCATTTCCTTTGCTTCTTAAATGGTTCTTAAGATACGACGTTAATGAACAGTATAGATAGCTAAACATCTGGGTACCAGTTCAAAGAGTTCTGGCAATTACTTCTAAACTGTTGAAAGCTCTTGCTTCGAAGACGCAATTTATTGAAATGATCTGGAGTTGTAAAAGTTCATTTTTTGTAAAGAAAAGATATAGAAAGCTATTTACGAAATTAAATGTACCTTTCCAATCCAGTGAGGCTGCAGAGAGCAGTTCTTCTTTATGAAAAATTACTAGAGTAGCTTTAGGATCATATTAACAGCAAAAATGAATCATATATAAAAAGCAATTTCTTACCAAGGACCGGCTATAAAATATGTGCCTTTGGCTTTTTGTTTACCCTTTGAACTGAATGCAGTGCTATTGCTGACTGATCTAGTTACCTTGAGACATGGTTTTGTGCCCATCAGATTTTCATGCAATTATCTTTTTAGACTGAGTAGCAACATAAATCATCTTCATTTTGTGTGAGATGTTGACATTTATTGATTTAATGTTCTCAAGAAACCTTTCAGGGAAACACAAAAATCAAATGGCTAGATATTAAGAGATAACATCTTAACAAAAATGGATAAGTAGTTGTTAGAAGGTTTGTCAGTGCGTAATAAGGCCAACTGTTCCAAAGATACATGGCATCATTGTTGTGACAATTCTTCTTATCGTTTTCTCGGGAAGTTCTCTGTGATGAATTTGTATGTAGAAATCGAACCAAACATTAAGAAACAGCCCACAGTAAGCATTTTAAGGTAGAACGAGCTAACCATGATTAGTAGTGGTAAGATTCAGTACTTGGTTTGCAGTTTGAGAAATATCTTTTAGCTGATTGATGACGTCTTCGTTCGGATGCCTATAAGGGCTTGGGAAATTCTGTCAATGTAGGCATCCAATTCTTTATTGGCCTCCATAACCGCTGCCACTTTCACACCTTTTTGCAGGTGAGCACTGACTTTAGACATATCGGTGCCTAAGAGCTCATCTGAGTCCCCAGATAATGAGCTTTTGATTTGCACTTTTAGATCTAGACATTGAAGAGTTGCTTTTAGATCAATGAAATACTTGAATCATTACCGTTACTGGTATGTATGGAAAGCCTATGGTTCTCCCTCCATGAGATTTTGGCCACACCATGCTCCCTGAGTCTCAAACCAAGTCTCAAACTTCTGGGTTGAGACTTGATTTTTTTTTTTTAATTATCCTTGTAGCACATAATTTATTTTAAACACTGTACAAATAAATGGCAAAATAATAATAATCACCAGATGCCCATGTCTAGAATTCACAGTGATAATTCTCCTCATCAGCCTTCTTAAGGCTATTTACTTAGTTTGGATAATGACAGCATTGCATTGTGGGCCTTACCCATTAAACAGTTATTAGGGTAAATAAATGAAAATGAAGTCTCTCTTATTTATTTAACCACATTTGTTAGTTGCTATATCCTTACATGCTTAGGGCACTTTACAATGAGGCGAAAACCACTCTGCTAACCAATAAGTACTGTATTTTTTCTGTGTATAAGACTATGTATATATTTTCCCCAGTTTTTTTAAATTTAAAATTGGGGGTCATTCTTATACATGGAATGTTGCGATTAATTATTTCTTAATTTTGGGCTCAAAAAATAGGGGTTGTCTTATACACAGAAAAATATGGTAAACTGGTATTATGAATGATTATATTGTCTTGCGTGGAATTGTTTCAAAGGCCTTAAAAAAAACAACCCAATCATAAGGAGCAATGGAGACAAATAACAAAGAGTATACGACCTATGCGAACCTGGTAGGTTTGATTTTGCTGAAGTGAACCTGAACTTGTAGCCTGATATTCGAGGGCAGGAAGTAGAGTCACTGCTGGAATTGTGCTGGCGACTCTTGGGGCTTGGCCTCTGTAGCTGCATGGAGTGACACAGCAACGCCAGAGAAAGTTTTCCTTATCTTCCCAGGGTGTAAGCCATGCTCCGCAGAAACTTCATGCTGCGCATCCATCAACTTGTATTCATTAGTTACTGCGAAGAATTCTAAGTCTTTGTTACACATCCGATGTCACAATCAAGCATAAGACCTGCCAAGCTCACCAGTTTCCTATTAGCTCTCCCGCAAACCACAGTAATTCTGAGCACATCATTTTAACACAGCAGGAAGAAGGAAATTGGATTTCTATTATGCTCCTTGCCAAAGACATACAGACAATTCACCTCTTTGCACGTGGAGTCACTATATGGGAGATGAATTGCATTAAAGCCGAGTTCATAAAGGACACCCTAGATTACAGCTCCATATTTAAATTCAAAACTCCAAGACATCAAATGACTGGAAGAAGCACAATCTGGACATCTGAGACAATTATTTAGGTGATATTTAAGCATGTAGTGAATAAAATAAGGCAATCGTATTTCTTCTGTCAAATTCTTTTTACGTTGAAAGCTTAAATATATGTTACAACATCAAAAGATAGCAACATATAGTAATGTTCAGTGGCAATTAAAACTTTGGGCAAGAACAATCTTCTGGCAGAAAGAATCATTTCCAGCATGTTTGAGGGTGCTTTCTCGTGCCTTCTTGGAAAACTGCATCAAGCAACATCTCTTGTGCTGCTGGAATTGTATGGACTAGTGTTGAGCTGAAGGAAGGGGTGTTTTTCTGAAATATACTCGGAGTTGAGTGTGGATTTCATGCTCTTTATTCAGCTCATAGTAGTGAGGAATAGAAGTTCCCCCAAAATATCTGCTTTATATGCATTCTTTACACAATGGGCCGCACGTGATTGGCTAATTCTGGGATTCTCCTGTAGGCCAATCAGGTTGCAGACTCACTTCCACCTGGAGCTGGATTGGGTGGCTCCTGTGGACCAATCAGACTGCTGCATTCTGAATCCTATTGTTCTAGGACCAACCAGACTGCTGCATTCTGAATCCTATTGTTCTAGGACCAATCAGACTGCTGCCTTTTGGATCCTATTCAACTCAGTACATAACATTTTCATAAGCCTTTTTGTTGCTATATTGGAGGGAAGGGATGAACTGTTTCTACAGTGGGAACGTGCTTTCCCCCCAAAACACAGCTGTCTGGGCACACCCATTTCTCCCACTCAGGTAGTGGTGACATATGATTATTTTGGAAATGAATGTGCATAGCAGCCTTCCCCATGGGGCTGATGGGAGTTCTGGCCCAAAAGATCAAGAGGGCACCAGGTTAGGGAAGGCTGGCATTATTGGAGCCAACTCCTAGAGACCAAGTCCCCCCCCCCATAGAATACTTGAGGGGGCCACCCCACCCCCAAATGATGGGCATTGCCATTCAAATTGTGACTGTGCACAGTGTCTTGTTATCAGTTATGTGGTACCTGCCCCCCAATATTTTATTCAAGTTGGCACTCTTGGCTGGCACATATTCTCTTTCACTCCAACACTTGTATATGTATACAGTCATCCAGTATACAGATTCAAAGTAACATGTTAACAAACCTTATGTGACATATCTAATGGGCAGCAATGTGCTTTTATCCTTCTTCATTTTAAAAGCCAACATAATTGAGCATAGACAAGAAAATATTGGCAGTTTTTCTGTGGTATGGAAGCTTTGGCAGTTTGCGTAATGTAACACGGCAGGGAGGCTGAAGTAATATTTATCCTTGAGCTTTCTTCTATTTATAATACTTAATTTGCCTAGAATATTATTATGATCGTCAAATCAATTTCTGAAAGTGTTGCATTGGACAATCATTATAACATCAAGAAAACCTTGAGTATTTCTTTCCACTGGGGGCTGATCCAAACCTGAGAGCAGTTCCATTAGTAGGGAGTAATTCCAACAAGCTTTAGAGTCTCTGAATTTTCTCGTGCTGCAGTTTGCTGCATAATTATTGTCTCTTATTCGGGGCATAATAAATATGTGTGTCAGAGAATTGTTTGGTATCTATAAAGCTATTAAGAGTTTCTGTCCACTTTACAACTGTACTTGTGTAGAGGCTTAACAGCAGAACTGGAGATCAGATTGGACATTAGAGCTAATAGATTCTGGATTTATGGATATAGAACTTGTGATGGTGAAGCACACTTAACTGAAATTTACTTAGTGCCCAGTTTCAAGTCTCTTGACTTTCCAGCTTTCTTCCAGTGCCTTGATAAACCATCTTACTTACTGTTGATACGTTGAGAACATACATAGTTAGAAATATAATGGGCTAGCTTTGTTCTCAATGAGAGGGAAAGAGTGTGTTTTCAAAAATAAAAAATAATACATATTTGTAAAAAATCAGAACAGGATGAAGGAGTGAAAAGGCACTGATCTGCCCTCTTTCCTGCCCTGTTGGCAAGAACCGTACAAGACTTTGAATGAGGTGGTCTCTCCTTCTTCCCACTTTTAAGATTGCATCATTACTGTAGTATCCTGGTTTTTATATTTCTCTTGCTAACCCCCAACTCAGAACCAAGCACTCAACTTTTCTGTATTACTGAACATCAGACAAACCAGCAACAACAAAGAAATCAAAGTATATGTTTGGTAACTACTTCTTTTCTACTGTTCAGACAAAGTTTATATTTATTTATTTTGGACAGAAGGCCATTTATTATTTACAGATGTTTTTCTCTGCTGTGCCTGTTGCCCTTGATAGAGAAAATCATTCCAAGAGGAAGGAAATAAATAAATAAGAACAAACTGATTAGGAAGGATTGGAGGAAGCATCCTAAGAGGACACTTTGATAACTTGCTAAAGGCTCGGCGACTATAATCTTGTGGCTCCCTTGCTTCTCCATTTATTTTTATTCTCATTTTCTTTCTTTCTCTTTCTGTCCAGAGGAAGGTTATATTTTTCTATAATTATCAGAAGCAAACTTTTTGCTGACAGCACATGCAATGATTAATCACACATTTTTATTACGGCAGAGGTTTCTTTTTTTCTTTTTTCACATCCTGTTTTTCTATATATCCTTTAATTCTCTGTGTCTTGTACAGGCAGCATGAAGTAGTTTGCAGCAGAGGGAAAGAAAGAAAGAAAGAAAGAAAGAAAGAGCACAATTCATTTTCTATGAGTATGGGGGGGGGGGAAGAGAAAGAGACACTTAGATCATTTGGTGTTGTTTTTGAGGTCTATCTCCTTCCCTTAATGTGGATGTGTAATCCCTGTTAAAATGAAAAGAAGCCCATCTAAAGAACAGAAAATGATGCCTTGTGTACACAAGAGAAAACCAAATTCTTACCTTCTCCTTCCAAAAAGCTCAAATGCTGAGTGAGTCACTTGGATCATTAAAACTGAAGCCATCAATATAGACTGGAAATATAAAGACAAGTGGTGATTCAGGGCATGGAGGACAGCAGTCAGTGTCAAGCCAGCTGCCAGGAGCTGAGGTTTAGGATGGACTTGGCAATGACCCTTTTGGTATGACTCCCTGCCATACCCTTTAAATCAAAACAAAATGTCAATAGCCAAGATGGTCTGGTTGTGCAACCAAAATGGCAACTAGTGATTAGTGGGTGATTCAGTGCTCTCACTCATGGATAGCATTTATTTCAAAAGAACCACAGTACATGAAAAATGCTGAATGTGATCATAGACCACAGACCTGATCCTTCAGCCTTTTCTGCTACAAGTGGTCCCCTGCTGTGAACCTGAAGCGTGTGGAATGAATCTCTTGTGGAAATTAAGATTACTGACAGGAGGAGTCAGGATGACAAGGCCAAGACTGCAGTCAAAAATGGTTTCTCTATTATTTGACCACATTCCCAAAGATTATGGGTTTGAATCTCAGACTGGAATAAGCAGCTCCAAGCTGTTAAAAGAAATATGGCTCGTTGAACCGAGGAAGAGAGTCTGAAATAGCACTGCTGGACCATATTCTGTCCTGCCAAGGAGGAAAAGAAAACACACAGCCTCAACTGCTCTAACAAAAACTTGAAATAGGTTTTGGTGTGATACGGTTGAACGATTAACTGGTTTGACTAATCAACTAAACATTGAATTGTGGATTAATTTCACCTTACGTTCTCTATTATAGTAAATGAGGCCAACTTAAAAAACAACAACTCTGCCACTGGGGCGTTGCTGAGATGCAGACCCAAGGGATGTACAAATTTGCTCTTCTCTGTGCCATATTCAATAAAGAGGAAACTAAAAGACTCTTTCCCGTTTCTAGATATTACTATGGCTTCCCTTCTAACAGTAAGACTCACTGGCAACTGAAACACATGATGGAAGTGCATTTTTTTTAATAGTTGGCTCTCCTAGCATGGTGATGGATTTTGAACTTGTTTTGCTTAAAGTCATCTCCATCTGTTACTGTAAGAAACACTCCATATTCACAAATTAGATAAAGGTTAAAGTGTATTTCCCCTCCAAATAACAAATACATTTTTGTTGTTTATTAAGCTCTATGGCAGTTAAAATAAATGGTCCTTTCTAAGAATCTTCAAAAACCTATCTTTGTTGAAGGTTTTATAATGCTTTGTGATGCTTAAACATATTAGACTTGATCTGAAGGTGTCCTTCTCTTTGCCAAAAATGTGGTGAAGTGTGAACAATTTTCTGTTTGAATATTCAGCCCCTCTCAGTTTATACTTTCCTGGGAAGGCTCAGTGAATATTAAACCAGCATATAATGCAATGCTGTACATGTACCCTCAGAAGTGAACCTTGTGGAATTCAGTACTCCTGGGTTACTCTGGGTAAGAATGTAGCCTTAATTTTGTATTGTGGAAATGTCCCTTGAATTTTGCAGGCTAAGATAGAAAAGTCAAGGCAAATATTCAAAATTCGTAAAGCCTTATTACCAGAGGCTATACATGAATGCACACAATGAGTCACCCTGAGGGATTGCTGGAGGGAGTTTTCAACTGTATGATGGCGTGTGACATCTCTCCCCTATCCCATACATGAAAAGAAATAGGAGTGAAAATGCTAATTGCCATCGAATTTATAACTGTAAGATAAGAGAGTAGCACGTGACATCTATATGGGGAAAGTTGATGATAATGTTGATACTACAAAACAT